CTGCTCAGTACATGGCAATAATGTGTAGCGGAATAGGTGACAGATAATTCGGTTTCAGTCCAAAAAGAGCATGATGTTCTTCAGTCTACATTTCACATTGACCAATTGTTCGATCATGCATATAAAGCTCTATACTCCAGCTGCACCATTACCACACAGTATTTCATTCGCATGCTATAGACCACAGGTGGCAAATATCTATTTGTTTTTCCTGTTCTACTTCTGATTGCTCGGGCTATACATGCTGAGCCTTGTTTGCTCAGGTTCAAGCTATATGTTAGAAGTAATAAGAGTTCTACTTATATAATTCTACAAATATTGGCTATAAAAGGGCATTATCTCCATACAAGCTCTTTGAGTTAGTGGTGGCTAATATGTATCTCTTAAGGTATTGTTGTGATACAACATCCATTATTCCCAGCCATTTAAATGAAGCATCCAAGTTAAAGGTGAAGTCAGATTGTCCTTCTGGACCTCTTACTATCAGGGTTATTTACTTTAGTGAGAATTCAAAGTGAATTTTACATACAGGGCCAGAATAGCTCAACTAAAAGAATGGCCGACTTGATTGGAACAATTCTCCAAGCTGGCTATACTTCTAGTTCAGCTACTTAGAATTCACTCTTTAGTGAATAGCCCTGTCTGTGATAACTCCAAAATCTTTCATTACAAACCAATGGCAAACCTTTGTTCTGCAAAGCATCAACATTAAAAGAAATTTAAGAAGATTTGACAAGGGGACATATCTGTAGGTTAATACCTATCAATGCACTACATCTGAACCCCACTAAGGTTCCACTTTAATACAATGCCATTTCAGCAGATTCATTTTATTCCATCATAAATGTAAAAACAAACTTTCAGTCCTTGGACCTTTATCAAGCCACTGAATGAAACACTGCCTAATTTTAAATCTCTGATGAAATAAAATGTGATACCAACTCTGAGTGCTCTGCTGAATTGCTTTTGAGCATTGCTTTTAATGACAATATCAATTGGAAGAACACTTAGAATTCAGTTATAAGATAATCATTTTCAGAATGTCAATCAACCAGTCATTCTGATTCACTGAGTTTCCTTTTATCCCCCCGAGAGATCCATTCCTAAAATGAACTTTCTTGGTCCTTTGCAGCACTGCTTAGTGTGAAAAAATCATTAACTATAACTTTTCAAAGGTTTATAGGATTGTCAAACATTAGAGGATCTAATTAAATAACGCAATTTAATTTATATTTTGATATTCCGCATGAATTATTTTATCATTAAAACTGTTATTGGCAGAAGTTGATAATATATTTCAATTATCTAACTGCCTTCTGAATATAATGACCATGCACAATTCAACACTTTCTAAAGCTTACTGCATTAATGTAATCACAGGGAAGTGATTTGTAGTTAATTGTATTGTACTGTAACACTGCTTTTAACTTCTGCACACTGAAAATAGTGTTGGGCTTAATGACCAATCACTCAGTAACTGTTTATAGAGCAACCAAATAAATAAAAACTCATAGGAGTTTCAAATTGTTAGCCTTTCATTTGCTCAATAGAGCATGAGTGCTTATTTGCTGATATATGTCCAGCTGCTTGAAACCAGCTGCAAGCCCTTCTGTCTGGGTCATTTAAAGCACAAATTATTAATCAGCATTTAATAGCATCTATACTGTCCCGCTCATATGTAGTAACACTGGTTTGCAAAATATAGGGCGTATGACCATAAATAAATAGCAGGATAGATAGATGGATAGAAAAAAAAAAGACATCCGCCCATCAATTTAAGCCTTTCTCACATCTGTTTTTGCTGTTGAACCAAAAGATAGATAGATGATGGAACTATAACATAGTTGGCCATTATTGGAGATTGTTGTCTGTCTATGATATTTCTGCTTTAGTTTTTTTTATATCATGTTACTATAAATCAATCTTTGATGAATGGATCACAAAATAATAATAAAAAAAAAATACAAGTAATTCAGATCTAAAAAAACAAACCTGATTTGTGTCAACACTCTTCATTTTATCATGGTTATTTTGTTTCATGACGCTGAATCCTATTCACTCATTATTGCCCTTATGTATTTGTTTTATAGGACAGTCTGACAATGACCTCTTCCCATAGATATTAATATGCGCAGTCACAGATCTAACTACATATTGTTCCAAACAGAAGTTATCCCTAAAGCCCAAGTGCAATCTTTATTAAAAATTTACAACATAGCTACTGAGTGACATTAAATTATTAGGAAAACAATTACATTTAATCTCAGCGTACACATTTGGATCTTCTGTTGTATAATTAGAAAGATAATTAACTAAATGTAAGCAGCAAAACCCAGGCAGACAGAAAATCTATTGCCTTATTTTGTTTTCTTTCTCCCTTCCTTTTTATTAGATGTCTACACTATTTCATGTACTAGATAAAAATGTGTTATTTGCATTATTAATTACATGAAATGTGAAATTATGCACATATATTGCCAAAAGGCATACTAATGTGATATTTTCTATGCAGACACTCGCTAACAAATTTCACCTTTATCAATTGAGTGTACAAGATTTAAATGACAGATTTTGAGATCATGGGTTTTATTCACTAAACTGTGAGCTGGAGAGAAATAAAGTCCGTATTGCAAAGCTGAGATTAAACTCGCCAAGCTATGACCACATCTGAGCTGGAAAATATTTTTCTAAACTTGCAATTTTTGTATTTCCGATTTCAATTTTCTACAAAGCAGAGTTTAGCGAATTAACTCTTTTCTTAGACATGTGCACATATGTGTTTTTCTGCATACAAATCCCTTATATATATACAATGGTCTGTACAAGAAAAGCACTCTCCTGCACTATGATGAATTGATAATTGGCAAGGTAGATATCAGGTATGTTATTATTGTGCAGCCCTGCAGCATTTGAATTCTCCATACAGTGGGGTATTTCCTTTCATGGTCTCCACTTCAGAAGACATGGTAAATGTGGCAGACTTGTCTGATCCATATACACCCCAGGGTATTATACATTCTCATAGAGTCATTATGAAGAACCAATAGATGTTTGATGGAAATGGTGTATACATTAGGTACTGTGGACTACAACAGCTAGGCTCACTCGGAGTCAGTCCCAACCATTGGTCACTTGATTTCCATTAAAATAGATGGTGCTTTGTTGCTATATACTTATTTAAAAATACATTCTAATAGGTTGAATTCAGCACTTTCATTGCAAGCTGTCAGTGGTGAATTTTTACAACATATATATTTTCATTTTCAGGTTTCAGTACTGGACTGTTAACCTTAGAAGTAGCCTTGCGTTGTTGTTGTTGTTGTTGTTGTAGCCCATACTATCTGAATATGAATTGTTCTTGTAAGCAACATATTTTGTACTGGATTTGATGTGTAATATGTAAGTAATTCAGATGGTGCCATGTTAATTACAACCTTTTTCTTCTAGAATATCTAACAATCTGGCTTGTTTCTTTTCCAGCAATGCTTGAATACACAGGGGGTGTATTCATTAAATCAGGAGTTGTAGAGAATTCAGTATGGAATTGCAAACTTTAGGCCAAATTAGGTGAGCTAAAAATTAGTGAAGATTTTATTTTTTATTTTTACTTTTTCTGTTGTGATCTGACAGGTGAAATTCTCTTGTCAGATCTCCAGAAATCCAAATGTAGTGGGTTTTATATAATATTTAAATGCATTACACATTGGAATGGATTTTGTCTTTTTCCGGGAAATAATGAAATTCTAGTTTCCTCCCTTTAAAGAAATGAATGGTAAATGAAGACGAAAGTAGCTACTCACAGTATGTAAGGTTTTGTTAACTAAACCCTGAATTATAGTGAATTAAAAACAATATCACAAAATTCAGGAAGAAACGCAAATTTGGGGGGAAAAAACCTACACATTTATTTACAGCCATAACTTGGTTATTTTAGTCTAAAGGATGCAATTTTGTTTTTAATACAAAACAGTTTGATGTTTACTGAAGACAGCCCCCACCAACATGTTTACAGATGAAACATGTTTGAGCAAACATGTATGTATGGCTGCTGCCTAAGCCATGCAAACTGCATTGAATAAAGTACAAGTGCTAAACAAAACTAGATATTTGAAGCATGCTAGTAGAATGACCTTTAGGAATAAAACCCAACACACTATTTTAATAATAGCAATATGGTAATCCATCATAAAGATCAATTTCCATTGAGCAGACATGTGTAACCATACACCTAGCTAACAGAAATGATCATGTGGAAAAAATAAATCATTATATTCTGAAGGTAAAATGGAGAAAAAAATACAATTTGTGCAGCTTAATTGTGTCTATTCAATGTAATGAATTGGTTAAAAAAAATCACAATTTATGTGATTTTTTTGTTCTTTAACTTAAAGGTCCCATTGTACTGTAGTATGCTGTATTCCTATTGTGCTGCAACTATCTTGTCTTGCTACTTTCACCTTTAAGATTCTGTGTGCAGAATATCTGATATAACAATGCTTTCTCACCATCTGCTTAGTGATTCGCAGCTCCATAGCTTGTCTACTGAAGCTGCTACTGTAACTTAACATGAAAAATCTCTTGGAGCATAACTTGTATGTGTGGAGCACAGATTCCTAGACTTTATTCTTCACAGTTAGTGAATTATGTAACTCATTGAAAAATCAGATGAAATACATGTCTCCCCTTACATACAATGCCAAACTAGCAGCCATCTATAGCCCATCATCGCTATGAGAAAATATCTTCCTTAATCTAATATGCATGTGCTCTCCTCCGGTTAGCAGGGATAGTGTTTGTGGCGTTTTGTCTGCTTGTTATCTAACAGATCTTAATTAGAATGCAACTTGTATAATTAATCATTGATTTACAATTTTCTAATTGATCTTAGAAAAAAAATAAAATCAGCCCAAATGACATTTACAAGAATAACAGCTAATAGAAGTGTTTGCATGTAAAACACACGATTTCTAAATAAATGGCATTAAATTAAAGTAGTGTTATTTGTCTCGAGCTGCATGATCATAGCTTACCCCTTTTTTTTACATGCCACCGTGTGAGCTCCCTCTCCGGGGTGTACTTCACTACAGACGTTTCTGCAGCAGTCAGGTTGGTCTCTGGTGAACTTGAGATCGTAGACTGGAGTGAGCGCTGCTGCCCAGAGTCGCTGTCCACAGGACCGTGGTTCTGAAATGCCGCCCCCAACAGGCAGTGAGGGAGGCCAGCGCCCTTAGCAGAGCTTCCAAGTTACAAGCTGTCTAGGCTGGGAGCATGGTTCTTTGCTACTATCAGATAGGATGCAGTCAGCCCGTGTGACTCCACATTCACTATCACCTTCACAACTCACTTGGTGGCGACAGCAGATGATGTCCACAGGGATTACTGTGCAAATAGGAGTCTATCAGTCTCCAATTCATCTATTTCCTTTGCAGATCTTGTTGGCTGATAATCAAGTGAGCAAGTCTGTGATAGAGAGACGTGATCTTCTCCAGATCCTCTTACAAGCATCCCCAGCACTTTGAGCTACTGATGGAGATGTTGTGCTTTGTTTTAAAATTGGCTTTTGCTTAGAACTCCTGATGTCCTCTCTCCCCGATCCAACGTTCTATTTGTGTTCTGATGGATGTATTTGCCCCTGTGCTCATCCCAGGTCTCAGCACACCGCATCTCTCTCCTGACTGCCTTGTGCTTTATCTCTGGTCTCTTCGCTCACAGGTCCCATTTATCAAGCTGCTCCTCATCACGTGTTAAATCCGTTTTAGTCTTGGCACTAGAACATTCACCATCACATAATGCAATACCAACCAAGCACTCAGTGACAGGGGATGGGAAAGAAGAATTAGAGCCTCACACAGAAAAAACACACACACACACACACACACACACACAAATAAACTGTGATGATAAAAGTAGGGCTACACTGTATCCAGAGCATCTGTAGCTGCAATAAAAAAAAAATGCTTAAACTGGTTGCTGGTTCTGATTGCAGAATTACACCAAATGCACTGCATTAGTTATTGCAGTGCTGCAACCACAATATGTTTTTATATACGCCAATTTAGATTACAGATGACTTAAACAGGTCACACAGATGAAAGGGTAAAAACATGTGAATTGGGAAAAAAGAAAGAAAGAAAAGGAGAAGAGATAGTTGAAGAAATGTGCCACTCCTACAAACTCCCCTGGGATTATCTATAGATGTTTCTGATGGCATTACTGTTGTTGTTTTCACCAATACTGAAGCAGAATCATCATTTTGCAGCAGATAGATAATACCCACATGAGTGTCCATGTCATTTAAAAAAAGGAACTCATGATCTGGAGTGGTTTAGCAAGAGGCCAAATATGCAGCACCACATGCTGCAGCCAGGGGGCGTTTTTTTAAAATAAATGTTGCCTTCAGGCAGCTGCCGTAAGATAAAGGTTTATGGAAGCTCTAAAGGCATACCTTAACATATGGAAATAACTATTAGATGAGAAAGGGATAACAGACATGGATAACGCTTAGTTTATACTGAATAATGCTATGGGGTTTGTTAAAAATGCATATAAAAATAAATAAGTAATTTACCACATTAATGAGCAGTGTCATCCAGTAGTTGAACTGAAATTTCTCCTTTAAAGACTAGAATTTGCTATTTGTTCAGTAAGCTCACAACTAATTATTAATTGACAGAACAAATGTATTTCTTGGCCACTCCTAGACTACACTGGTATATGCATGGACAATGCTGTCCTATGTTTTCAAAGCAACAAGTGTACTTTTGTTTAATGAAAAATATATTTGTTTGTGTTCTGTGTTTTTAGGGAGAGAGAGAAGTTAATATATCTCCCCTTCCCTTATAACTCTCCCCTTATCTGTAATATTATACAGGTAAAAATAGGTCATAAAGAGCCAAATTACTGAATGATGAACTAAAAGGTGACTCAAAAAATGAAAGAAGGGATAGCAGATTGGCAAGCTGCAAATCATTTATGACATAGTTTAGTTTGGAAACAGATCTCCATATTGCTGTTGATTCCAGATGTTTGCTTTTCTATGATCGTAATACCCCCACAAAATATGGGAAGTGTTGTTATATAACAGAATGCAGTATGAAAGACAATAAGAAAATAATTGCTGATAATTGCTGGTTTTATTATTATTTTTTAAATATATCATAGACTCAATAACATTGCAATGCATGATATATCTTTGCTACACAAAGGGTTAAAATGCAGGTTACTTCCATCTTAAGGAAAAAAATTGCAACTGAAAAAAGTGGAAGGTTATAGATGTATATATTATGCTAAGATTGCCAATAGCGGGGATGTCTTGTCTGCAGCAGTGTCGATTGTATTCCAAACTGCATTCATGTAATCACACATACACAAAAAAAAAAAGCTTTCCTGCACCACTTTTTATGCTATTCATACAGTTCTCATGGAGTCTTGATGAGTCATGTCATTTCGAAGCCATGCTATCTTAAAGCTGTTGAGAGGTTACAGCTACAGCAAAGTATTGTCTTAATAACATAATTTCCTATACAGAATTCTCACTTTATATTATCCAGTTACATGTCAATTTTCTTTTTTTTTACCAGTCATTTTCTTTTTTATTAACACTTAGGTTGCCACTCTTCACTGTGATCAGCTTGCTTGTCTATTTTATTCTATTAAATATATGCTTTCATACTCCTGCCCATACATAATTACATTATTAATTTATTATTCAATTATCTCGTTAATCTATTTGTCTGTGTGTAGTAAGAAAGAAGAATACTGTATGTCATACATTTTGTCATACACTTATGTCTGGAGGCATTTAATGTTAAGGTTTAAAATTTGCAATCTAAACTTCAAATGATGACGTTAAGAGATTGAGTAAATCTTTCCCCAAAATGATATCAGGCAGTGTTGGGCAATGTTTCTCAATAGATTGAAGACATTTTTTTTTTTCTTTTCTTTTTTTTTTTTGCTCAATGCCAAAACATTTAAAGTTAAAATGTAGAAGTACACGTTTATTATTATTATTATTATTATTGTTATTGTTGTTGCTGTTATATAAAGTATAATCAAAATGTTCTTTCCGTACATGCAAGCAATTTATATATTTACTGCATGATACAAAAAGAAAAGAAATCAATTATTTTTTAAAGTACTTTTTGTATTAATCGCAATAGGTGGAAACATGGATTTTGACTGCAGGGAGAACTAATTGCCTAGTTTTGTCTGCTCAAACTGATTTTGTTTATTTGTTCTTCAGTTATTGTTTTATGCATATGTAAAATTTTCTTGACATCGGTTAACCTTCATGTAAAGTTGTACTCCATAATAATACCCTATTGAAATCCTATTCACCTTTAACATCAAGTCATTACCATTGTCCATTGTCCATTGTCCATTTTAGAGTATTCAAATATGGTGATTATTATTAAACTGTATTGAAAACATTCCTCTCATTACATTATAAAAAAATAATTGGAACATACTTAATTTTATAATTGCATATAATTGTTAGGGAACAGTTACTGAAAATACATCAAAACATTGCGAAAGATGATTGGTTAGCCTGCATATTAAATTGCAAATATAAAGAATGACAGTTCAAGAAAGGTACAATATAATAATTAATTGGTATGAAACATGTATTTAATTTGAAGGAGAGAAAACTGTACTTCAATTACGGAAGTTTAACGTATGATTCACATTACTATTCGTAATTAAATTTGTAACTCTTACATGTTAAGATTGTTATATCTTTTCGTCTCACTGCATTAAGACTAAAAACATACATAGGAAAAACAGAGATCGCAAAGACAAGAATGACATTTCACTTGTAGCAAAGTTAAATAAAACTGAAATTGAAAGCACTCACAAAAATAACACATAACAAGGCACATAATCACCAATCATCTTCAAAAAATCCCAGTTATTTGCTTCACTGAAACCTCTGCCTAGCTCCACAATTCAAACACTACTGTCAATGCTGTATGATTTGAGTTTATAGAGAAGGTCTGGAAATGTTCGATATGCTTGATATCACATATGTCAAAAGTTTAGGCAAAATTATATGTTGGCCAAATTCAGTAAAGACGAGGAATAGAGAGACATATGCTTTGTCTGGAAAACAGTATTTCTTCGATTTACCTGTTTGTTTTAGTCAATGGTAAATTACACTTTTTATACAGTACTCCTCACTTAACGACCCAGTCATAAAACAAATTGGTTGGTAAGTGTGGAGGCGCTAGAGAGCATGCGCACCAGTGCAGGTCTATGTTTGGGGAAATTTCCCCGAACATAGACAAGTACAGCAGAGCATGGAAACCCTCAAATCTATGTTCGGGGAATGCAGGGAGCTCTGGTGCATTTTTCCATGTTCGGGGAAATTTACCCGACCGTAGACTGCAGTAGTGAGCATGCTCTGTAGCTCATCCTCACAGTAAATGAGGAGTAGCTGTATAAAAATTGTAATTTACCATTAACTAAAACAAAGACAAGAGCAGGGAATCCCTCTAATTTATGTTCAAGGAAAAATCCCCGAACATAGACCAGCTCTATAATGTGGGGAATCCCTTGAATCCCCACACTAGAGAGCTGGTCATAAGTGCAAGCCATTGCAAAACAGGTAGGTCGTAAAGTGAGAACCACCTGTATATGAAAGACCATTCACCATCTATAAACAAAGGTAGATTTTAGCTGAAAAACATTATTGAATGACAACATTTAGATTGGATGAATTTTACTTGTGAAATGAGATTCATCAAAAGGCAGATCATTAAAATATATATTGTGAAATTTCACTTGCCAAAATATTCTTCACCCCTAAACTACCAAGCTGCTTACAGGAAAACCATACCCATAGTCTGAGTATTTTGGATGTCCTGGAAAGCAATGTTTCAATGTATTTTTCATTTCAGTATGCCTAGATAGCACATTATTTAATGGAAACAAAAATTTAATATTTTGTCTGGACAGAAATAAAACAAAATCATTCAAGGGAAGAGGTGGGAGGGATGAACACAGTGGTACTAGTTCTGATGAGGAGGGGACCTGAGCTTATATAGCTGGGTAACCCCTCCCACAATTACAGGCTACGCCTTTTTATTTGTATTCGGGGACATAAGCCGTAATAGCAATCTAAAGCACATAAGAAAATAACAGTCGGTTTCAGTGTGCCGGAACCGACGTATGGGGTAGGCCTGTAATAAAAGAGGGCAAAAAGGTTGATGTAAATAAATAACTTTATTGAACACAAGTTACACAGCTAGACCTCTAAATGCTAACTTCTGGTTGTGGAATGTAGATGGTGTATGCTGCAGTTTTCCACCGCCCTAGTCTTTTAATAATATGAGCCGGGACGTTGTGGCTTGAAGTCACAGAAGCGGCTCCAGTTCTAAATGAGTGGCCAGAAAACCCTGAGGGGTCGAGACCGAGTCTGATGAACAGAGTTCTGATATAGTATATGAACTTCGTAGTGCTCAAGGGGTTGCCATGTAATGATAGTAGTGGTCTATTAGGATTAAGAACCCCCATGGTAGAATGATATGTGTCAAATAATGTAAAGGGGCACCATTGGTTACCGGTGGGGTAATAGCAGACTTTGGTAGATGGGCCTAGCTTATTTGTTTTGGTGTGATTGATGGTAAGTACATAACGGTCTGTGTCTTTTTGGAGGTTCGTAATTTTAAGGTGCTGCTGATTAGACGTGACGTTATTGGTGGTGAATTAATTTGGTCATAAGAAACCATAGAATGCTAGATAAGCTGCTTTTCTTATAACAAGATTTGTGTTGGTTTTGAATGGTTTGGAGTCCAGGATGTCAGAGAGTGCATGAAATTTGGGACCGTCTATAGGGAGCCTGGAAGTGCTAGCGGGTTTG